TTTAATTAATAATTTATAAAATGAATTGAAAAATTATTTCAGTTATTTTAAAAATATAGATTTAATTTATCATATTAATAGAATTTGTTTTATTTAAAAATAAATATTAAACAAATTTTAATTAATAAATCAATTTAATTAAAATCTTTCATTCAATAAAAACGCCAAGAATAAATAATTATTATTGAAAATTTCAAAAAAAAAATAAAAAAATATTTTAAAAAAAGTTATTGTTATTTTGGTGTTTTTTCTTGTATTACAATAAATAATATATTTTGTTATAAATATTATACTTGAATTTTTTTGTCAATTTTGTTTTTTAATAAATAATTAAATTGAATATTATTACAAAAAACGGGATTTTTCGTTTAAAATAGTTATAAATACTAATTCGACGGAGTTCTGAACTGTTCCATAAAAAGAAAAAGGAATTCTACGAAGCTTTTCAAAGGCTCTTTGTTCTTCTCGAACGACCCTTCTAGAATTCCTAATAAAAACTTTTGACAACTCCAAAACGTAAGAAGGAAGTGTAATGGAACAGATGAATAAACTCAAAGAAAATACGACACCAACGCCGTTCATTTTGAAACTCTTTGAATTGGTCAACAATCCCGAGTCTCAACATTTAGTTTGTTTATTAATAAAATTATAAATAAAAAAGTTATAAATAATAATACGACTGGATAACCAGCAGATGCGATGGTGTGATGAGCCAAATCGGAATGGTTTTGTAGTATTAGAACCGATAGAATTGTCCGCCAAATATTTACCCAAATTTTTTAAACACAACAATTTCTCCTCATTTGTGAGGCAATTGAATATCTACGGATTTCACAAAGTTGATCATCCTCAAGGACAATGTTTTCAACACCCCAATTTCTGCAAAGACAAGCCCGAACTATTAACGCGAATTCAACGACAACACTCGAAAAAGGCTGACGCTGAAAACACGGAGTTGTATAAAATTTTATTGGAGAAGTTAAGGGAGTTACAAAAGGATTCGTTACACACACAGAATGACTTGCAACAACTCAATGAAATGCTCTTTAATTTAAAGAGCCGTGTCGACACACTCGACAACAGAATGCAAAGGATGGCTCAATGTATCAATTTCTTTAGTCCAAATATTAAACCTTTTAAACGGGAAGCTTTTGATACTAAGAATAAAGACTCTCTGATGACGGGAATTAACCCTTGGGAATAATACTCTCCTCTCTATCTTTTTATATTAAATGATTTTGATTCTATTTATCGGAATCGAGTTCTCTCTTCTTTTACTTAATTTTCTGTTTTCTTCTCCACTATAAGTCGGCTCCCGTTCGTCTTTTTATCGGAATAATTCGGTGGTTTTTATGTTCTTATTTTTGCGTTGTATTTCTGATATAATTATTGTCGTCCCATTCATCTGGTATATTAATGTACTATACTATAATAATATAAAAATTAATAATGTATACTACAACAATTGAGTTTGAGAACAAAAACGAACTTACAATAAAGAAAAAGATATGGAAGGCCACAAAAAACGAACAGGCGGAAAGCCAAAATCACACCAACGCGACAAAAAGCATGAGAAGATTGAAAAACAAGCGAACCCTGACCACACACAATCCACAGTATCAGCAATTGACGAAGCAAAAACTAAAGTAGCCGAACAACTTTCTGCACAAAAACGCGATTTACGCCCGAAAATGTTAGGGATGGAAACTAAAGAAGAGATCGAGAAACGAAAGGAATTAGCTGCACTTCCAATTGATTTAACAAAACGAGAAAGTAAACAACGAGCCATTCCATTTTTTGAATCAATAGGAGAGGAATTGGAAATTATAACACGACCGCCCTGGAACTATTCGATGAGTAAAGACCAACTTGACCAAAACGAAAAGACTCAATTCTCCGAATGGATAGAACGATTGTTAGATTGTAATGAGAAATTGAATTATTTTGAAAGTAATTTAGAGACGTGGAGACAATTATGGAGAGTTGTAGAGCGCTCTGAAGTCGTTTTGATCATCGTTGATTGTCGTTTTGGGTGTTTACAATTCAACACGAAAATAGCTGATTGGATCAAGAAGAGTGGGAAAGGACTTGGGGTGATTTTAAATAAAGTAGATTTGGTTGATACGGTAATAGTAAAAAAATGGCAAACATATTTTGAAGAGAAATTCAGTGTAAAAACGTTACCAGTGAGAACAAACCGAGCCATTGCTGGACAAGTCGAAGATTTTGAAGTTGCCGATCTCAGAAAAGAAAAGACCAAAACACGAAAAAGAGTTGAAGGAGATAACACCGAGGCTTTAGAGCAGTTTGAGGATTTTGTGTTTTCATTACAACCGACTCCCGAGAAGATCGACAAAAGAGAACCAGACGACGCAGCTACCAAAAACGACTCTGAAGACGAAGAAGAGAAGATTCTCAAAACTGAAAAAGGGAATCGACTTGGTGTAGGTCTTATTGGGAATCCGAATGTTGGCAAGTCGTCGCTTTTGAACTTCTTAGTTGGGAAGAAAGTGAGTGGGGTGTCGTCTCACCCTGGCAGAACCAAATACTTACAGACCTATCGCCTCGGTACCAATGTGTTATTAGTTGATTGTCCTGGTATGATGTTTCCTATGAAGAACCAACCTTTATTAATCCAAGTAATCAGTGGCGTCTATCCATTAAGTCAATTACGAGAGCCTTATAGTATCATTCGCTTCTTTATCGAGCGACTTCCCCTTGAAAAGAATTATGGAATCGAATTGAAAGAAGGGATGAGTGTCTTACAATTCGTCGACGAAATCGCTGAGAAGAAAAAGTATTTCACGGGCAAAGCGGGGCGACCGGACTCACACAAAGCAGCTCGAGAGATCTTGTCCGATTGCATAATGGGACGAACAGTATTCATGTTCGATACCCCCGTCGACAAAACAGAAGAAAAGCTCTAAAGCAATTGGGTTCAACACTTTTATTAACAGTATACTATAATGAAACTAGAGTACTGCATACCATGACATTTTCTATACAATAATTAAAAATTAATTAAAAAGAAACTAATAAGGTGTCAATTGAATCAAAATGTTGAGATGATTCACATAAACACCGAGGTGATGTAATTTCGTGTTAAATACGCGTTAAGTAATGAAGTGAATACTGAAGACGATTGATAAGACCGTTTGATGTCTTCTCTTTTGACTACTTCGACTATGCCGACCTCGACTTGTTTGTCTTTCCTAATAACAGTGAACGTGTGATCCTTTCTTTTCCACACAAGACGTAATATCCAATAAGGGTATGACGCCTCGAGGTAATAAGGGAAGTGATTTGTTTCATCGTAATAGACGCCGACGACACGAGTGTCTTCGGGTAAGTCACATTTACCGACGCCAATAGGGACAACGTCTTCGATCACAAACAACAGTGGTGTGACTTGTTTGCCGACAATAAGACCGACAGGGTTTTCGATGAGTCTACAATGCATGTCTAACACTAATAAAGCTGATGCACATAATATCACATGAGTGTTATCTTTCACCATCACCGCGTCGTTCATTTTCGATTTGTGTTGTGTTCGAATATACTTCCCAACGACTTTCCCATTATTAATCCATTGCATCCGTTCGAGAAATGAGTGGACGCGTCCAACACAATTGACATCGCCGCAGTCTTTGATTTGTTGTCTTGCCAATGTTTTAGAAATGTACTTTGGTTTCATCTTCTCCCACAAGTCGACTATTGCGTTTCTTATATACACATACCGCTCGGGCGTTTTCGCTGCTCGACCAACAAAGAATTCCTGATTTTGATCAATTTCGACTTGTTGAATTCGGCTTCGGTCGAACTCACTTTTATATGAAGAAGTGGTGACATACGTTCTTCCTGTACTTCCGGAGTGTTCAGTGGACGTCTCCGTTGAAGGGACAAAGCAACTTGGTGATGGCAATTCCGACTCGAAATTGATGTCGAAAGGGTTGGGAGGAATCTTTGTCATTTGCGAGAGGTTGACTTGCGGAAGATGGCGCTTCTTATCTTTGCGAGCAACATTGATTTCGCGAAATCCAGTGATCATTGTTTCAAATACACGTTTCCGTTTCTCTGCGGCAGTCTCGCGGGAATAATCATGAGGATAGCGTTGGTCCTGTTGTGGGGGCCGATCCATTCGTATGACTCTTTGTGTTTTTGCGTTCAACTAAGTATTTCAAAAGGAATTTTCTCCGCCGGGAGTCGTCTTTTTGTGTATAAACCTTCCGGTTCACTTTGGACATCAACTCCTCTTTTCTTATTATTTCTCAATTTTTATACACTAAAAATTAAGTTAATTTTTTACATTTATTTATTTGGTATTAACTCAATTGTTCGTATTAAAATTGATATTCGCCGTTATTTGAGACAGCACCTGTAAAACAGTTTTATCCTAAAGTTAAGATTTTGAGGTTTGGATTTCCCACTAATATACGAAAAATTGGGCTGTTGATTAGCGGAGAAGAATAATTCCACTCAAGCTTTACTTAGATTACTATTATTACTATTTTTTTTATATTGTCTCTCACAATTTTGTGTTAAATAATTGGACAAAATTTACTTAAAAAACGGGATCATCATCTTTATGAAAAAACGGCAGCAAATAGAACTTCTTTTCTCCTTTGATGATTTTTAGTTTTTTGAGTATAATTCATGAAAAAAAAGTGAAGAATTATTATAGCAAATAGTCTCATTAAAAAGGGTTTTTTAATCGAAGTATTTGTTAATGTTTTTATTTGTTTAGTAAAAAAAATTAAATTTTTTTCTTTATCTTTATTATTTTTTCGATGATTAATTATGCTTTATTCAATCGATATATTTTCTTTTGATGCGTTTGTTTTACTTAGAAATGTCATTAAAAAACGGGAAATTTATATAAAGTAATTAATCATCAATCAATAAATGGATTGTGTGTATGAATTTTTGGAAAAGAACAAAGGGTATTTTAAGTTGGTATTTTGTGTTGTTTTTTTATACAACACCAATGTTCACTTTTTGCATCTCTTTTTTTACTCGTTTTGTTTTTATTTATTTTACGTCTAAAATGCGTATCAACAGGGGTATTGGTGTTAGGGTTGCATCTTCAAAATACTGGAACATTACAACTTTTAATTGTTTTTCAAGAACAAGTTTTTACAATGAACAAAGAAAAAAATTGTTTGATATATTTGTCATTCAATTTAAAAAATAAACTATAAATAAATTAGTACAATACCTTATAATATTCGAATATAATAAAAAAACTATTAAATGGAATACTATAACATAATTGTTAAATCATTTTAAATAAATAGAATAAGAAATTACACTTTAATAATTCCCGTTGGGTACAATGCGATAGTGGCAATACCACATTGATTATTCTTATTTCGAGACATGTATATGTATCCTTTATCTCCCCATTCTGTCCCCCACGAATTTTTGACGATCCAATAGTCATTCCCGTTTTGACTTCCATACCCAACAACACTAACAACATGGTCGACATATTTACACTTTGGTTCATCATAAATTCCACTTTTGTACAATTGAAAAGATGGGTTTGATGCGTCTATTGAGACAGCAACGGGTTGTTTGTTAACGGCAATTTTTAAAGCATCTTCAGTTGGAGGGAATATTGAAGTATAACTTTGTATCTTGTATTTGACATCAATTTCATTGACAGTGCAATTACTCTCCGAAGCAATGTATCGGTATTTGTTTTCAGTAGTGATTCCAACGTCTTTGATGTAATTGAAAGTGTTACCAACGTTCCCACAAGTGCACCCAAAGTTGGAGTATTTCGTGTTTGACGTACAATCGACTATTTGTTGTTCTGAGAGGTCTTCATATTCTCCACTTGTTATTAAAATTAGCGACTCGATAACAGAAACTGCACCAAAGGAGTAACAGGAACCACAATTCTTTTGGTCTTTAATTGCCGTCACTTTGCCTTCTTCTCGCCAATCGACTGAATTTCGGACTTCTTGTTTTAAATTTTGTAGTAAAGAGCTATTAAAATAGGTATTAAAATTTGACAGTTGTTGATTAGTATTTAATAGTATTTTTCGATACTCCAAATTAGTGAGTGTAGAATATGGCCCTTTCATTGTAAGACGATAAGTAGAGTTGATATGTATCTTGTTGAACTCTTCAACATATTTTTGGTTGTCTAAAAAGACTGCTTTACGACGAAGATACTCCGTAGTAAGATATTTCACTTTGTGAAGAGTTAACCAGTTTTCGTATGAAAAAGATAAAACAGTTGAAATCAGTATAAACTGTAAACAATTCATTGAAAAACAACAGATGGTGGTAACTTAAAATTTACTATAGAAAATTAAATTTTTTTGAAAAAATTTCTAATGAGATGTTATAGTTTCGAATTGGTTTCATTTACCATATTTTGTAGTTTTTGTTTAAACTGTTTTTCAATTTAAAAATTCGTAACATAAATAATTCTTTGATTTTATCAGAGCATAATATCGATATATAAGGAAAACAAAACACAATTTTTAAATTTTGCTCTAATTAAAATATAGCATTTAAATGATTATTTAAATAATAATGCCAATAATATTAGTAATAAATTAAAATTTTATTATATCTTAAATAGATATAATTTATAAAATATATAAACTTATGTTTGATTAAATACAATACATTAAATAATTAAAAAATTAAATTATTATATTGAAAATTAAACCATTAAATTATAATTAATAGTTTATTTTTAATAAAACGCAATCAAACTAAATAAAGAAAAACATGGCAAATGAGAAGCAGCCATACCGCACTGCTTTAACTGAAGATGAGTATGCACAAACTGATCTTCCAAAAATTATCTCATACATCAATTCTCTTCATGCAGTTGAACGAGTTTGTATTTTTTTAATAAATAACAAACAGACAATGTGACAAAACCCTCACCAAAAGGTCGACATCATTTCTTTCGACTTACCAGAGAAAGTGGCTGACAACTTCTTTTTAACAAAAGAATCGCTCAAAGTTGTTTGCACGTTCACACAACTTCTCGAGTCGCAAATCATATCGAGATTCCCGACAATTCACATTTTAAGTCAAAGCAAATGGTACGACACTGTTGTGATTCAAATCATCGACCAGACAATTTACATCTTCTGTGAAATGACAGAGTACCAGTGCCTTGGAATTCAAGGGAAGTATCAAGAAGCCTTCGGAGACTACTGTTTGTTGCATTGGTCTCGTAACTATCAATATATTATAAAAATACTATAAATTAAGTCATAATAGTGAAGAGTCGAGGATTGACTTGTAGGCATCAAACTGACACTCGAAGAGGCAAAGAAGTACAAAGAGAATTTCAGGGTTTTACAAGAGCGTCCGTTTTTAGTATGGACAGACAACACTTCAGCTTTCAAAGAATACGCACAAAGTCTGATACCCCCACTTAACGTAATAAGTAAAGAGAATTTAAGAACAGCAGCATTATACCCCAGCTGTCCACTGTCTTTTAGTGCCGATAATTTGATCGAACAAATTGGTGCCATTTGTGTAGAAGCAACTGCCATGACTTTAACTGGAAATGAATTAAAAGGGTTAGAACGAATTGGGCGAGGGTATGGGGAGAGTGTCAAACACTACACATATCAAGGCACATTAGTCTACAATTTTACGGAAAACTATGCCAAAGACGACACCGCCTACGTCTTTTATTGTGTTGGGGCATGTCCTTTTGTTATTAAAGACCAGTTCCACACGTTCAAAGACCAAGGCAATGATTATATCGTCACTGTGGTGTTCCATGATTCTCAAATTAAATTATCCGTCGAACATACTTGGAGAGATATCATCAAACTCATTTAATTGAATGGATTGAAAGATACTATTGAGTATAATTTTATTATTAGTAATACATTAGAATGAAAAGTTATAATAAGTTGTAATAACTTGTAATACTATTATGTATAACAAAATGCAAAACATCACTTTTCAAGTGATTGACATTTGTATTATATTATATGATATATTTTATAATAATTATTAATACAGAAAATTACAATTCACGAAAAAATGATTTTAAATTGGTTTGATTGAAGATGTGCTTTGGAAACACATGCAAATATATCGGCATCATATTCTTGAATACATCGAAATCATTGAAAATAAGCAATGAATATTTACAACATATAAATTACACTCCGATAAAAAGAAAACAAAGAAAAGTCCACATCGCCTATGAAAGAAAGGAACTTAAAAATTTGCAGAGAGATATGTCTGAGACGGGGAATGTAGTAACATTAGTGAGTTGCGACAATGAGAATTTCCAAGTGGACTTAGCTGTTGCTAAAGAGATTGGCGCTGTGAAGAATTTGCTTGAGGATTTTGAGAATGAGCGCACAATTCCATTAACACAAGTGAACAAAGAAACATTGAAAAAGGTCATCGACTTCATTAGTCATCACCATCAGTATCAATTCCTTGGTGATAACGAAGACAAAAAAGGACAATTAACGTCGTGGGATAATTCATTCTTCGAAATGGACCAACAAAAGCTCTTTGAACTGATCATCGCGGCAAATGTCTTGGATGTCCAGGAACTCTTGGACTTGGGATGTAAGTACATCGCAGAAATGATTAAAGGCAAAAGCGTCGAGGAACTCAGAAAAACATTTGGCATTGTGAACGATTTCACTAAGGAGGAGGAAGAGGAAATTAAACAGAAGAATAAGTGGCTCGAAGAATTCATCTGATTTTTTGTTCTCCCGGTTTTACTAATAATGTATAATTTTTTTATTATTAGTCATCCTTGTCAAACTAATATAATTAATATAGTATTTAATAGTATTAATATGGTATTTAATAACATTGTTTATAGAATCTAAACTATAAATAGAATAGATGGTGTTTGTCAAACTTTATTTTCAGTTAAGGACGAATGAAGAGCGTGATATTTGCACTACTAATTGTTTTATATACAAATGGATATTATTGTGTTGTAGACAACACTGAAAAGAAGAATGAATGTCTTTTAAAGAATAAAGATGGACAATATGAAGTGGTGGTAGAAGAGTTGCAAATAGAAAGTCAGAATACACTTTTTTTGAAAATAAGTAAACATCTCTTAGGAAAAGATGTCAAAATTTCAATGAAAGGAAAAGGTCCTTTTATTTTAAATTCGAAAGAGGTTATTAAAGGGAACATCGAATTGGATATCAACCCTTTAACAATGATGTATTTCTTATATTACGGAGGTAATATAAATGTTATATCAAAATCAAAAATCAATCTTGGGGTTGTTTACTTAAATACCACAAAAGAATTTCTTGTTAAATCAAATACAGTCGAATTTAAAATTCTTACATTTAATGAATTATCACAAGTGTTATCACATCCGAAAATGAGCGCAAAAAGTACTTTATTAACAAAAATGATCGATTTCTTCTACTCAAAAAACAAACAACCGATTGACCAAATTTTTGAAATTCTAGAAAGTGGACTCCCACAACTTCATTTCAATATTTTTGAAAAGAAATTGTCTGAACTCAATAGCCAAATTCAAAAAGCAAATATTTCAAAAATTTCGTCTCAATTGAGATGTAAAAGTTGTATTTTTTGGTTTAGGTTTAAAATGTCTGCTTCAAATGCACTTGGACTGACATCTGCAACAGATTTTTGTGATATGTCTTTTGTCCCAACAACACTCTGCAAAATCACAATTCAGACTTCACACTCTTTGTCTTCAAAATATTTCTATGATGAGAAAAAAGCAGAAGAAAAGTACTGCAAAAATTATTGTTGAAGTATCGAATGTGTTTTATTGGTTTAGTTTATTTTACTAATATAAACTTATTCGATAATTTATTTTTGTAATTAAAAATTTTTAATATATTTATTATCTAAAAAACAATATAGTTATTATTATAAAGTTGTATTCATTTTTAAATAACATATTTTTTAATAACTTTTTTAATAACTTAATTATAACATATATTTGATTATATTAATAATCACTTAAAACAAACTTCAATTTTAATAATACAAAACTATTAATATAATAGTGTTAAAAATAAAAATAATATTGAATAAAAACCTAAAAATAAATGACCAAAATATATTGTTTTTTAATAATTACTTTAATAAATATATATAGTATTTCGAAACACAAAAAAAAGATTTCGAGATATATTTTTACACCAAAAAAAATGGAAGAAATCTCTAAAATCCTTTTTTACAAAAAAATATGTTTAATTTTTGTTATATTCAAATTTTTCTATTTGTTACCACATTATTACTCATCCAAATTATATAGTAAAATATATTATTTAATAATATTATTTCTAAAATATATATGCGGTTTTATCGCACACATAAATAGGAAAAAACACAAACTTTATAATGCTACATCATTGGCAAAGACGGTTTGTAAAAATTGATTCTTTTTTGATTTTTTTTTGAGAAGTTCTAAAAAAAATTTGATTTACAAGCACAATAGGATGAAGGTATCCCTCTTACTCGTTTTTGGTTCA